GGAACGTAGTTCACCTTCAGCTAAGATTTCCGAATTCTGTGAAAGTGTTTAAAGTAAAGGGTAGAACGTCGAGAGAAAATTAATTGATTGAAATGTAGTTACATATGTATAAGTAGATGCTGTTTCACGAAAAAAAATATATTAAAACTTAAATATTAGGTTATAAATAAATTTTAGTAGGAAATTATAAATACACCTCATTTCCTATGCAGGGACAACTGTTTAGACCTTAAAAGCTTTTGTATAAAATTTTCAAAAACCACTCTTTGAGGCATGGTATCTATACTTTTTTCGCAGTTTTATAAGGACAAATGAAAATCAACACCCATAGAAAGATGCATTGCAATGGAAAACGAAGACGACCCAGATATGGGTGATTTTCCTTTTTTAAATAAAATTTCATTTTGTAAAATTATGTTATAAGTAAAACAAACTCGACTTTGTAAACAGGTGGCAACCCATTTAAAAGTATTTTCAGACTAAAATCGTTTGGGACTGTGATACATATTTCAATTAACTGATGAATTGATTTATTAAGCACATGGCAACTCTCCTTAATACAGTTAAAAAATCAATTATTTTCAAACCCATTTTGATTGATATCCATCTTTTGACAATCCATTTAACTTATTCAATAATTTGAATTTACTTTTTTCAACGGGCGGAAACGCTCTTCTGGCACCCTAAAAAAATTATAAATGTTCAATTTAAATATTTCTTAACACTCGTTCGTTTGATACCCATATTTCAAAATTTCATGAAACTTACGTATAATTAAACTAAATACGACTTTTAAAACAGACGGCAACCCTCTTAAAAATTATTTTCGAACTAAAATTTCCTTAAATATCATTCGTATAACATTGTTATAAATATTTCAATCAACTGATGTTGAATCTGATCTTTTAAACACGTGGCAACCCTCCTAAATATAGTTCTGAAATAAAGGATTTTAAGTAATTCATTTAAATTTTTAACTTTTTTAATTTAACCTTTTAAATTGGGGCAACCTCCAAACATCAAAAATTATCTAAATGGTCAAACTAAAGATTGCTTAAAACTCTTTCATTTAGCATCCATTTTTAACATTTCATATAACTTGGGTATAAAATAATTTAATCCGCATTCTCAATCAGGTGGCAACCCTCTTCAAAATATTTCCAAACTATTACCTTCTTAAACCTCTTTTGTCTGACACCCATAAAGTAACACCTTATTAATTTACAAAATTCCTTTAATTAAAATTGAAATAGATTTTTTAAACATGTGGCAACCCTGTTACACGTAGTTCAGATATAAAGCCTTTTCAAAACCATTTCGGTTGATACCCATATTATAATAATTAATTTAACTGGGCTTAATCTCTTAACAGGTGGCAACTTTTTTAGAAAAAGTAAAACATTATTAAACATTCGAACCCTAAGCCCTTTAGTCTGAGACCTCATATTTGAAAACCGAGCGAATGGTGCGGATCTGATGGTATTGATTATTGAATAATTTGAGTTGTATTATTTAGCAGGTGGCAACTCTTCTCGAAAAAGTAAAAACTTATGGCACATCTACAGCACAAGCCCTTTAATTTGAGACCTCATTTCATATATATAGATAGATATAGAAAGCTAATAGATTGGCTCTTACACATCCCAGAAGATAATTTAGGTAAATTAAGTAAAATCATTCTAAGAGGCCTACCCAAGAAGGGCTGAAAAAGTGCTTCCTTGCATGCCTTCTAGAAGGCATTACAATTCACGCGAATGCATAAATTTCAATTTACAAATGAATTTCAATAAACATAAAGCAAATATAAAAAAACTGTAAGCAAATACTTCAAAGATGTATGATTTTTATAAATTAAAGAAGCAACTTTAAAAGAACTCCTCCAAAAGGCCTTCTGAAGTACGTCCTATAAAAGCTCTTCTGGAAGACCCTCCATGGATAGTGAAAGAAGAAGCCCCTCAATTTGTGCCACTCCATATATAAACGAAAGGAGAAAGAAATATAGAGTGGAAGGCCTCTTGACTCTCAGGAGGCCTTTTGGAAGGGCTTTTAACTCCTTAAATTATCTACTGGAATATGTTAGTGTTTCGCCGAGCTTCTCCTCTGATTTGTGGTGTGCCATTACCTGCCGAGGGGCGAAGGCTGTTAAGAAAAAAAAAATATTTCTATATTTTTTGCGAGGTTGCTTTGACCAAGGATTGAACCCTGGCCCAGCGAAGTGGAAGAGCGCATTGGTTACCACTACACCACAGCCGCTTATATAGCGGTAATCAGAATGATCAGCGAAGTCTGGTTCAATGATTGATAATGGGATTAGTGGCGTATTGTGACCTAGATTTCAGAAAAATGTACCAGTAGACACATACAAAGTTATGACGGACAGCCTGGCAGCATTAAGAGCCTCAGATTCACGTAAAACAGTGTCAATACTAGTAGACAAAAGTATACCGGAAAAACTACGAGCCCGTTACAAGGTTACTTTGTGGTAACGACGAAAGCGCTAGTACTACCGGGAGACGCGTAGATTAAAATAAACAATTTCTTACCTTCGTTTCTAATCGTGATATTTCCTGCTTCAGCTCGGCAACAGTTTGGCTTTGCTCAGTAAATTTGATTTTAACATTCATCAGCTCATCTTTCATGCGAGATTCCAGATCGGAGTATCTAAAAATGAATTAAAACACAATTAAACACATAAAGTAATATAACACCAACAATAACTACCTATGCTGCTGTTCGCGCGCCTTATTGGCCATTTCCTTTTCGCGACTGACTGCCTGCTCTAGCTGTTCGCGCAGTTTCTTAGTCTCTTCATCCTGGCGGCGCAGCTGATTTGTCGAAACCTGCACTTGCGTTTCGAGTTCCATAACCTAATGCGATAGAGGCATTAATAAACATTAGGAGGGGTGCATAAATTAATTACTTTCATATATGCCTTACCTTCAAGCGCAACTCCTTCAACTCGGTGAGTGTTTCCATTTCACGTATACGCGTAGTCATCAACTCCTCTTCCAGACGCTGCGTATGCTCATTCGATTTGGAAGTGTCGAAGAAATTTGTTAGCAATTTCTTTGGCGTCGAATCCACGGGCTGTTGACTATGGTCATTTTTGTTTTCTTGCAGTTGACGTTGCCATTGGGTGCTCAACTCTTGCACACGTTGTTTGAGATCCTTCAGTGAGAGGCTAGCCTCAGCCTCACGCAATTTACTGGCAATTAGTTCGTCTTGCAAATGTGCAACCGAATTGTCGGGCGTGGTTTCACGTAATGTTTTCTTATCTTCTTCGAGTTCTTCAATTTTCGATTTGAGATTACGTATTTGATCTTCACTCTCGGCGAGACTTTGACGCACTTTGACTAACTCTTCGAGTAGACATGAGACCATTTCGTCGCGCTGCTTAAGCGCTTCCTCTTTCACGCATAATTCATCAATGGATGATTGACGTGAATTGTTCTGCGAGTTTCGTGAGTTGAAGAGGGGTGGAGAAAAAAGAAAGAAATTTAAGGTTATGTTTTTAGATTAATGAAGACACTATTCTAAGTGAACAAACATGCAGCGTGCTAGTCAATGTCAGTATGTAAGTACATTCTGTTTTTCAATAGTATATTAGACAACGAGCTGGGCATGCAATTTTTAAAGCAATAGCATCAATTAAAATAGTTTTTATTCATAAGAACATTTAGAATGAAAACAGTGTTGTCATTTGTGGCGACGCCACGCCTATTTTTCAAAATTTTATAATCAATTATTATTATTTTCCAAAAGTAGCGTTGTAAGGAAGGTGCGTGTACTTATAATCCAATTTTACTCATTTTCAGTACGAAGTTACCTGATGCTATCATTAACATACTCCTTAAGTTTCACATGCACAACAGGCCTCCTGGACAGAACCATATAACCAATTTTAGAAATTTTCATCAACTTGTTTAATAAGACCGAAAAGCAATAGCTGGACCAAGTTTGGGAGATATTAATACATATATCTCATTATAAGTGGGCGGTGCCACGCCATTTTCAAAAATTTTGTTAGGTAGGTGCTATACAGAATTTTTTTGCCAAACTGTTGTTGCAGCAAACTTTTTTTACTGTGAGAGCTTCAAAGCTTAGGGCACAGTTAATTGCCTATGAAATATTTATTATAATCAGCCTTATCATGAGTTTCATTTTCCCCGAACCGGTTCACTTTTCACTTTTGGTTTCCATGGTTTTACTATGGGCGGATGACAAATTTTCGGGTGAATTTTTTTTTCAGGCGAAACTCAGGATAAGGCAGAATATAATATTAATTTTTGCCCGATATGTACATCTGAAATTTTCATTTCGTGTTAGTAAGAGGCATGAAAAGACCTGTGCCAAATTCTCCATAGCCACCTCAGAGCAAACTGAGCAGCCGCCATCTTGTTTGCCAAACAAAACGAGCCCTAGCCGCCAAACGTAAGCGCCATTTTTTTCGAAATTTTTATTTTGATGCAGAAATGCCTCTGGAGCATCTAGATGCATTTCTGCATCAAAAAGAAAATTTTGAAAAAAATGTTGCTTACGTTTTTTTGGCGGTTAGGGCTCGAAAAGTTTGTCAGCACAACACCGACCTAATATTTTCTGATTGTCGAAAGGTCCAGCAAGAATTATCCATCACTCAAATATCAGAGAGTAAGAAAAACATCTCTCAAATAGAGAAACTTCCAAATTTCTGCAGGACAGAAAATTTTTAGGAATCTGCAGGTTTCTTTGGTGCTCACGGTGACATTTCAATTATAATAAATTTGTATAGGATTCTTTCGGGCGGACAAAAAACAGGCTTTCTGGCTTTGCTCAACAAACGCTTCAAAATGGCAAAGTTTTTGCTGGCAAAAATTTCCAGCTCCCCCATTCAAGATAACTATCACACTCACCCTCTCAATTCGCCCTTGCATGCAAACTGTTTGGTCTGCACGAACGCGATCTGACAAAAATCATAATTCGTACAAAAAATTTCCTCGACGAATAATTTTTGTTCCTCATTAGGACGAGATCGCGCGGACTATTTTCTAGGTGAGTTCGTGAAAACTGTCAAACTGCCAGAAGTAGTAGAAGAATGGTAAATATTTAAATTTTAACTTATTAAAACACATCTATTTTGATAACAGAAAGAAATACAATTAAATTTCCCACTTATATGCATTTTCGCACCAAATTAATTTTTGCTTAAAGCTACTGAGTATATGCTATTGCAATTTTAGAGTAGCTCACGAAACTGCAACAACGAGAACTTATTGAAGTCACAGTATCAACCAGCAAACTATTTTGAAAGTTTGAACTTTAACATGAATACATATCAGCTTTTTTAATACTTTAATTAAAATTAGTCTTAACAAAAGGCAATCAGGCATTATATGTTAGTTCTATTTTTGTTAAAATATTTAAATATTAGTAGAGAAAGAGCATGCATTTAAGCAGTTAACAGAAAAAAGGATTGAATAAACATTAACCTTTGTTTCCTTCACCGGCGGCTGCGCATTACTTACGCTATCGATTGATACATTCTGTTTTGAGTAGGCAAGAATTGTGCGTAAGTTTAATTGTGAATTTGGATTTATATATTTATTTTTTTTTTTAATAATATTAAAACAGTAGTATTGTTTTATTTTGGGTTAAACACCAAGAAACCGAAATAAAAAAGAAAATAATATAAAAATTAGAGTTTAATCATAATTTCAGTTTGATTAGCAACGATTTTTATGATTAGGCACAATATGATAAATGAATAAAGAGAGTATTAAACAAAGCAAACTTACATTTTCTTGTAAACGTAAACTTAAGCCACGCACTTCCTCATTTGCATTTTCCAGTTGATGTGACACTTCGAGATAGGAGCGACGCAATTGCATGAGCTCCGTTTGAATAGCGTAACTGTATTTAAAAAAACATAGCGTAACTGTGTATAAAAAACAGGAAACGAATGTTTGTTTAAAATGCATATACCGACCTAGTTTCCTCCTCTTCGGCACGTGAGACCTGCCCGCGCACCAGACGATCGGCCAGTTCAGCGCTCTCAGCCTCTAGCAGCTCATTGCGTTGTTTCAATAGACGATTCTCACGTCTTAAACGACGCAACTCAACCATTTCTTCCTGCTCTTTCTTCTTTAAGTCTTGATATTCCTTTTCCATTTTCTTCATACGTTTTGTGTTGATCTTGATGGAATAGGCTAAATTGAAGAAAGCCTCCGGATCGGCTTCAACACGACCTGGTAGCTCTTTTTGGAAGAACTTGAAAAAGAGAAAAAATTTAAAATAAATTGTGATAAACAAAATTAAGTTAGATTTACAGAAATAAATTATATTAAAAGCGAATATCAACTTTGCAAATAACACATTTAAAAAAAAATTTCTTTAAACTTACTACGGGCGTTTTCTGAAGGATGGTTTAAAATCGATCGCCCTTTCATCACAAAATTTGTTCTGTGTTTGAAGGGCAGATACCTTTTTTAAACCTACTTGCGAAAACCGCACTTATTTGACTATTTTTGAAATACTACTATCAATTACCTTCAGCATTGCCTCCATATCTAAACACAACAATGTTTCTTTGCCGAGCAGTAGTAACGCAAGCGCTACCTTAAATATAAACTCCATGCCTTCGCTAAGGAATACGTCCATTATGCGACAACTTAGATTAAGATTGAGTGTAGTGGTATACAGTGTGAGAAACCAGCTGGAAGCGTACATAGTGGTTTGAAAACCCTGCAAGGAAAAGTTGTCGATGTGGTTGAAAATGTCTAAAAAATTATTATTAGTTGCTATTTAATACCTGCTGCTGGAAGTGTATGTGCATTTCAGGTATCTGCTCCTGTACCAAATTTTCCAGTTGATACATACACAGACCCAACTCCGACATTGACGGCTTGAACATGTCGCGCATGCGATGTTGTTGCATAATTTGCACGAGCACAGCAAAAGCCTCCTCCTCGGGCATCTAGAAAAGTTAATACATAATATATAAAAAATACTTTGATCTCTATTGAATTTGGAAATACTAGTTTTACTCTATGTATCATTCCTTTAACCGACACCCACCTGCATCAAAAGCAATCCCACGATGAAACCCGAACCCTGACAGTAGCCGACTTCGCGATCATGCAACGAATAGGCTTTGATCACATTGAAAAGCGCTTCCTGACCTGGGCCATCTTTCTCTTTGAAAAAATCGACTTCGGGATAAGTGCGTGCAATATCGCGTCTGATTACCTTCTCGCATGCCGAGGTGGCCTTAATGTAGTCGGCATATTGTTTTTTATCCGTATCAGATGCGCCGCATAGTTGCTGCCAAACAATGGCGCTGAAATAGAATAGAAGGAAAATTATTATAATGCAGGAAAGTAAGGGGTATTTAAGTTAAAGATTTCCCTGGTCGTTCACTATCGACGCAAAAGAATATTTAGGATATTTCAAAAACGAGTCCAGTTGTATGGCAGACACTATTAACCGTGACTAACGTCACGTATAATTTGGATTTCAACTTCATGACCACGGTACATATACCACAGTAAATTTCTACCAACAACGGATAAGTGGTTCGGACCAGGAAGCCAAGGTTTCGTTCGTTACAAATAAGAGGACGAAGGCGAAGTCAAGTACGAAGGATTACAAAAACAAATACAGAAGCGAATTCAAAAACGAAGACGAATAGGAAGACAAAGACCAACACGAATCAATGGACTACAAAACTGTATACTCAAAAAATTCTAGCATTTCTGAGAAAAAAATTTTAAGCTTGGGTTTATATGGGTTTTCTTAGAGAATAAAGAGTGTTTTAATTTAAAATTCCTAAAAATAAATAAGTAAACATAAGTGGTAAACAATATCACTTCAAAATGGGTGTGCTATTGCTATGACCGATACTGTATATGGAAAAATTCAAAGCCCCAGCGCCACAGTTAAATATTAACCGATTTCAAAATAGAAAATACGAGCATCCTTATTTTCCATTTTCTATAATTGTGGCGGCGGCAGCAAGATGATTCCAAAAGGTAGATTCTCCTGTATAAGGCCCAAAAGGACCACCCTAATGTACAGATATTTTGCAAATAGACATGTATCTAGCAAGGCTTACCGGAAGTGATGAGGTATGCCGCGCCGCACCAAATCGCGTACACATGGATTTTTACGCTTCAGTGCACCCTCCCAATCGCTCAGTATAGTCGCCCATTGCGTCCAAATATCTTCCTCAGCATTCGAATTGCCAGCTAAGCAAAAAAAAAAATAAAAATAAAAAAATTATAATAATAAGCTCCAATTTGTAAACTTTAAAAATCATATTCCATATTTTACTTACACTTACTTGAATTCAGACTTATTTGACTTGTGTCCGAATTTTTGCGACTATGCGTTGAATGTAACGAGTTTAGACTTTTCGCATCGCTCTCGATGAGCTTGTTAGCTGCCTCTAATTTGGCTAAAAGATCCATTTCTGATGATGGTAGATTCTCCTCAGCAGCACACTTAACATCCATTTTTTTGCTACTCTCCTGTTGGGTAGCAGTGGTAAGGGTCATTGCCGCCGCCACTATGTTGCACTGTGTTGGAAATCAGTAAATGAAATGCGAAGACGAAGAGAAATTGCTGTGGTGGTGATGCTTATTCAACTTCTCAAATGCCACCCTTAGCTTAGTTGCGTTGAAGTGTAGAATAGCGAAAATGGCTGCTACCGCTTTACAAATGGCTTCTTTACGCTTTAGAGGGTTTTAATGATGATGATGATTAGCGTATCTGCAGATTACTGACCCTGAAGCGGACAATGACGTTACGGTTGATGATGCTGGATGGGCGAGCTGATGTCGTCGTTGCCGCTGCTGTTGTCGTTATGGACCTTTGGCGCAAGTTGTGTAACAACAACAACAGCACCGAATTCTGATTTATATACGCCGTTTTGGTGATACTTCTTTTAAAGTTGACGTTGACGAATTATAAATCACTGCCATGGAATGACTGACGTCTGTGCGGGCAGTACGCAATTCTGAAATTAAGAAAAGGAGAAATACTTTAGATTATTTAAAATTGCGTTTCCCCATACTATATAGAAAGAAATTTCATGAACATTTCAAACTAAGTTTACAAAAACCTGAGCTCTAGCTCGAAACATAAACTCTAGAATAATGCACTTCATTGCCTGTTCTTACTTTTCATCACTTGAATTTTTATTTAAGCCCAAATTCATCCATGTTTTATTAATATCACTATCACTTGCGCTATCAGACCCGAATCAGCCGGTAGTTTTCGTTGCAATGACAGCATCGGCATATTCGACAAACCATTGCCCTAATTTTGAAAGGAAAGCCAGAAAAAATATGTTCTAAATTACCGTAACTTATATAAATAAGCAATTTCAAAAGCACAATGCAGCCCCTTATCAACAACGTATGACCTAAATCGTTCCAACATTTATTTGGACAGTGTTTACTAGCGCCTAATGGCGCAGCACTGTCCTACCTCACTTAAGCCAGCCGCCTTTTTTATGTCAAATATCTACATTAGACCGTACCACCTTACAACCGAACGAAAAAAAAGTTATTCGTACATCCCTTAGTCTGACGTATTTTTGCAAGACAATTTCAAAAACAAAAAAAATCACCAATAAGATTTTTTAAATAGTTCTAATAAAATAGTTCTAGTTAAAATACTTCCTTAGCAAAAGTGATGAATTTTGATGAGCTTTAATTTACTGACATTAGGGTGATAAAAAATGAGATCTATACATACAATAAAATTTTAACAGGTAGATGTTGAAGCGGATGTTCTCACTTCATAAAGCAGTAACAACACAAAAATACTTTTAAGGCGCAGTGAAGCACGTAGGGTATTTGCTCGGCTGGAATAAAAAAAAATTTCCTCGAGACAAATACAGATCCGACTGCGAATGCCGAAGATATAACGAAAAATGTAAAAAGACGACCCATACGTTCGGCAAAAAAATAAAATTTCGAAATTGCCTTGGAAAAATACTTAACGACTCAGGGGCGTACGGCGAACTTTTTACTCCGGTCCGGTCTAATATCCATGCATTCATATATATACGATTCAGCCTTGACCATAAAAGATATTCATATAAACATACATACATAATCAACAAAAAAAGTAAGAAAATATAATAACAAATACGGAAGAGATAGAAACAATCCACAAATAAAAGGTTATACAAATAAACCGAAAAGCAGACACAACTGACTTGCTGCGGAAAAAAAACGTTTCAAGGAATAAAAAATTAGCTGGCCTAGTGTTGTTCTATGGAAAAAATGACGATAAAAATTAGGCCAAATTAGGCAGTATTGCTGGCAGCAAACTTATACACTTAATCATGTCCATACATACATACATATGTATGTACTATATCTTATAAATACATATTGATCAGCACATTTAGTAACAGTCATTTCTTAATGTAGGTCAAGTAAGTTGGGTTATTTGGTATGCAAAAAAATGATAATAGAACCCTTGTAGTCAGCTGATTAAGTTAAGTGACATTTTGCCAAGTTTTGGCTATTTTTTAGTCTGTTCCAATAGCAGTCCGGTTTACAGGATTTAGTCAGAACTTACAGGAAGTCGTTCCTATTGACATAAAACCTGTAAGTGGGAACACATTTGAGAGAGTAACTGAGCAACTGTTCCTAGTCAGAAGTTACAGGATTTAGTCCGGAGTTTTTTTTCCTGTAAGTTCATGAAAAGTGTCAAACGATCAGCTGATTTACATGTGCAAACAAAAACAGAAAGCGGTGAAAGCAAAGAACCTTATA